TATTATTATTATTATGTTATAAATCACAGTTACACACATGTTGCGTCACTAGCATGCGCCGAGAGGAGAGTCACGAGAGGAGATTTGGGTAGAATTACCTGGGAGGTCGGGAGAGGACGTCATCATCCAGCATTGAGACGCTGGCTTATTGTGAACACCTCAAGTAAAACGGGTGCGTGGCCTAACTACACCCACTGGTCCGACCCCCGTGTAGCTGCTCCGCGTATGTATACCACAGTGCAGTGCTGCGGTGCGGTTGAACGCTGCCCAGCGGTAGCAGCCGCTCACAGTACAGACACACACTGCAGCACACACCGCTGATAGCAACGCGCCCCGGCCAGCTAACGGTAGCAAGGAAACAAATGAAACACCGTATCTGCTCGGAACTGCTCCGGGGCCCGGGTCGACCACAAGCCGACTGCAGCAACCATAAGTTGAATCCAAGTGAGGGTTAGCAGGAAGCATGCACTGAGGGCTAACCACGTCTCCGGGGCGAGAAACCAACAACAAGTCCGTGCAGCGAGGGTTCGGCTTTAGTTGGTGAGTGTGTTTACTTTGTGACTCATTTGGCTCCATCGTTTCAAAGCGCTGATGTGGTATTTAGTCTGGTTTCCTCACTACGGTCTCGAAATAGGTGTGTTAGTTGGACTGGATTCAAGGTTAGCTTCGGTCTGCTATCTCTCCTAAAGTGCATTTTGGAGTATTTTCGACCCCTTCTTCCACCTCTGGTCACAGCTGTAGCATAGTGCCTGTTGCTGTATCACCTGGGCACCAAACCAGAAACCACAATGAGGGTTTTGTTTCAGCGTAGACTAACGTTCAGTCAGTCACTTAATATTACTAAATATAAATGTTAGGTACGTTTATCTTTGTCTGTCTTAGTCTTTCTCTGGAATACACATAAGTTTAGATATACATTGCTCAAGTTGTATTTATTGGTTTAGTTTTATTTTCCCACAAAACAACATATAATTACATGATAACATACTTGAAAAATATACAAAAAAACACAAATAACCAAAACACAGATGTAAGATTCAGTATGTGAATGTATATGTAAAGATGAAAAATAAAATTAAAAATTAAACAAAATTAAAAAAATAAAATGTGTTAATTAATGCACTAATTTGTTTAGGCATATAAGCTTTTTATAGATGATGTAAAGGAGTTTAAACTAATGTCACTGGGCCGTAGTATAACACTTGGTATACAGTATTACTATTAACCAGAGTCCAAGTTGAAGTGAGCCTACTTGGACCTAAGTTAGCAACAACCAATCTAAAAAAATGCAGCAAAATAACAGATACAAAAAAACAACACACAAACGGGCTCTAACAGATCCTTGGACCAGAGAATACACCAGGACAAGTGTGCATGTAGTAGGTGCCACAACAAAGCATTAAAGTGTATAGTAAAATAAACAGTGATAGAAAATATGGAATAATAATTTATTTTCTTTGTATATAGGGTTGAGTAATGTTAGCTGACAAATATATGACTCTCATATATCAAAATACAAGAGGATGGCAAAAGTAAAATAGGCTAATGACCACCATGATACAGATGAGTACTGTAGAACCCAATTAGACACACATTTTGACAATTAAACTCAGTCGGTCAGTTAGACGCCTGGTCTGGATTTTATAGATGTTCTTTAGAGGTATAAAACCTCTTAAAGCCCAATGGGTCACCCACTTCAGTTCTACACTGCTTAGACTTGTTACACAAATAGATTAGATTAGTTAGATTCTCCACAATTCAGTCATTCAGTTCATTTTACACCAAATTATCAAATGAATGGAAGTTATTCAATAGCCTAATTTTTATACAAGTAATATTCATACTGGTTTAAATAAACAATTTGATAGTATTCCCCATCTTTGCTGAGCAAAAGGAATTAAACGCTGGTCCCATTAGGCAGATTGAGTTCAGTGATTGAAGCAAAAAGAGGCCCGGGCTATTCATTTAAGTTTTACAGTATTAGAAATTGCATGTTAAAAATCTGTGTGTGGCCAAAATCTTTAATTGATGATTGATCCTTGGTCTCAACTTTCTCAATACAGGGCTCATATCAGATGGAGGACACATTCACTGCAGTGATCTTATCAGCTGACTGTGAAAATCCAGCTACTATGCCTTCTGTTGGACTGCTGTTGTAAATGTGGTAGCCATGGCTTCTCGCAAGGTAGACGAGCTACCAGGTAACACCAGGGATTTAGCTTCAGTCTCCGAACAGCATTCCAGATGCGGCCCTGATGACATCACCGAAGAGCTTCCGTCGGATACGATGAACGCTACGGTGAAATCCCAGAAATCTGGAAGATTTAGGAGGACTGCCCTGACATTCTTTGGAGTTCGTAAAGGCATCTGTATTTTACCCAGCTTTTTTGGAGGAAGGAGTAAAAATCCGAACAAGTGGTCGTCTAAGAAAGGCATCACCAAAAGCAGAACGCATGATGGGCTAAGTAAGGTTAGTCATGATGACAATCTGAGAAGTGGATACACCTCAGCTGGAGATTTCGAGTACTGCAGCCAGAGGGACTCTGCTGGAGACCTCCATAGTAGCTGCCACAATGAATGTAGTCACCCCACTGCTGACCAGAAATCACTGACTCTCACCCGGCAGAAAAGGGGTTTGAGGGGTCTTTTTAATAGTTTTAAGTACAGAAACCATCGAAATGTTGGCTTGGATAAAACTGAAATGATTGCAATGACCTCTCCTCACTGCAAGAAAGAGGTGCCTGTTGTCCAGGACAACACCAACCAGTATGTCACAGAGTGCCTGGGATCTGAGCCTGATGTGCCTGATTTTGCAGATGTTATATGTGATATTTCCATTGGTCCTGAATGTATTGACGCAGTGGCTTTAGAGAAGAGTGTGGAGCAAGAAAGCCTCAAGTCTGAGCTTGATGATCAGATGTGTGATGATCAAATGGAGGAAATGAGTTTGGTGGCCCTGGTTTCCAGTGAATACGAGGAGAGCTCCAGAGGACATAGCGAGCCTTGTCTGAAACTTCACACAATGTCGGAGCCTGTATTGAAGTCCGAAACACCTGCTGGCTCATCGGATCAGCTAAACCTGATTTTGGGAGACGTCGCATCATTAAAAAGCTTCGATTCACTCACCGGCTGTGGGGACATTATCGCAGACCAAGAAGATGACAGCATAACGGAGAGCACAGTTTCTGGAGAGAGGAGCAGAAATGGAGGAAAGAGGGCTTCTTGTTATCTTACTTATCAGGGTGGTGGAGAAGAAATGGCCTCACCGGAAGATTTGAATGAGGAGGATTTCTGGGGAAACAACGTGTCAGAGGAAATTTGCTATACCTGCAACCAAGACCACACCGATTTGACCGCCGACCTTACAAGTTCTCACAATGTGGACTTACTGAACAGTAACAGTGCACAGCAAGCCAGTGGCATGGACACTTCTTCAATTGCTGATGTGCTCACTCCTCAAAGTGAGCATCAAGAATCCGTTCCAAATAGTGACGAGGGCTACTATGATTCAACTACGCCGGGGCCAGATGAAGGACAAGAAAAAGCGGACCGACTAAGGACAGACAGATTGCCCAGGGACAGTTACAGCGGTGATGCCCTCTATGAACTTTTTGCGCCTGATGAGAGCCTCATCAGTCCACATTATGAAAACAAATCAAAACTTCCCGGTTCCAAACAGTGCGAGTATTTAAGTGAGCCAGTTGGTGTGACACATTCTGCCTTTGTCCCAGAAATGAACCGTTTGCAAATAAGTGCTGAACTGTACAAAGTTCACGATTTTCTAGAGAGGCCGAGTACATGCGGTAAATCCTCGGAGTTGGCACAAAATGTGGTTGGTCGGCAGGAAGTCAGCACGAATAAAAACTGTAATCTAAATTCAAAACCACGAGCAACAGTCAACAAGAATAATACGGAACCGGGTGTATTTGATGAAAAGGAAAGTATGCCTGCTTCCACGGAAAAAAGAACAAAACCCATGAATGCGGATTGTGAGAAAAGGCACAGCAGCATATCGTTCGGAAGTACATCAGACCCAGATTTTGAAACATTTTGCGAACCCAACGAGCAACATCTTGAGGAAAACAAGCCTGTGGCTTTACCATACAGAAATATCAACCCTCAGTCTCCAGATTGTAACAATGATTTGGATGATGGACAAACCGTGAGTTTCTCTCAAGCACTTGTGGACTACACGAAACACTCTCAGATGCTGAGTGACTTGCAAAACAGTGCGGACGATTCGGAGACGAACTCTGCCTTCACTCCAAATATGCAGGCCTTACCTACCATAGTCACGTTCGATGTAGTGGATATGCATAATGAGGGAGAATACGATGATCAGATCCACATGGAACTGGAGGAGGACATCTCATCGCCCTATCAGGAATTTGAAGAAAGCTACCTACAAAAAGATGCATTTGCTGAATGTGACTATCAAATGTTAGACCTGTATGAACAGAACCTGATCAGTAACACATGGGCAATTGCTAGTCTCCCACGGCACCTAGGCCTTACAAGAGTCAGTCAGTCCACGCCGTTGTCTCTAGACAGGAGAAGTAGGTCTCTGGACACAGAAAGCCTCGAGTTGAAGATGCCCGACACATGCAGAGAGAACAGAGCTTGTCCTCAAACTGAAAAGGACTCTGAAAGAGATTCCTCACCATATTACAAAAAGAATGTACTCGTGTCTGCATCGGAGGTTAGAGACAGTAGCAGCATTATGGCCTTATCATGGCAAACAAGGTCAGAAATGGCTTTAAGCCTTCCTCTGACAGATGGGGAAATCACTGAAAAAGTACAGGGTCTCAGTCAAGCCCAAGTAAAACGCAAAATATTTTGTAGTTCATCCAGCAGTGATTTTCCTAACAGCAGAACGCAACATCTAAGCTCTAACGTGTCGGACAGAGAGTCTTGTGATTTAATTTCACAGAACGCAGAGCTTTACAATAGGCAGTGTCGCCTTCCTTTGCAATCAGATTCTTGTTTACCTCATAGCAACAGCTTTGTTTATTCTGGAATGATGGAGGAGGTGTCAGATGATGTTGAGAATATTTTTTGTAAAGCGACTAATCTTCAACACTATAATCGGTGTGGTAAGAGCAGACCAGTGGCTAGTAGGGAGGGATTATCTCATTCTGGGAGTCCTGTGAACGCAGGCGTGCCTAAAGAAGAAATGGCTGTCCTCAGCGAAACAAGAACACCCAGGGATGTTGTTGCCTGCAGCAAACTCCCCAAGGCAACCTTTGATTGAAAGCCTCTCACTCATCACGTGTATATGTGCCAATTAGTGCTTTTATGTTACATCCAAAGGAGTAATTGTCGCTTACTTTGTACTTGCACAACTGATTCCTCTGAAACGTTGTTGTACACTGTGATAGACAGGACACGAGTTGATATTTGAAACTACGTGCTATCATGCTGAGTCAAGTACATCTTTCTGTGAAGTCAAAAGGGATTTTCTGCATTTGCACAGTAACAGTTGCTTGCTTCACACACGTCGCATACTTGTCAGTCCATTGAAAGTAAGTTATGCAAGTAATTGTTTCATTTGCATTGCTCACAGGTTCATTTCACTAAGCTATTAAGTTTTACTAGAATGTTTAAACCCATGTGTAGCCTCAGTATCCAGGTATCAATAGTAGTGCCACACTTGTGTAATGGGCATCTGTTAGCCTGGTTTCCATAGAACAGCCAAGCTGGGCTTTCCCAGTCTTGTTTACTTCACCCCAAAACACATGTATGCTCATGCTTTAAGTGCCGGCTTGTGTTTGTATTTACTGCTTTTTCTCAGCTTCCCTTTGCTCCAGTTTTGTCCTGTCATCATGATCAAATTCAGTGTTTCTAGCTGCTCTAAATTTACCTAATTTACAATGCAACAACACAAGAGGAGTTCCTCAGAGGGGAATATCTCAATTCACAGAGAGGAATTAGAGCTCAGTCCACATTATAAAACATGTTCCTTGATTCCGTCACGTGGTATATTTGAAATGCATTACGCTTAATCTCAAAATATCTAACAGCAAGTTCTTCCCCTTAACCCAGATCAGGATAAGGAAGTATATGAAATGTAGAGATGGACTGATAGTTGTCCCCTCCTAACTTCAGTTTCCATTTCATTTACACACTGTAGATAGCCTCAGTACTTAAAGTACAGCACGTCACACAGTTCTTCTGTGTATGAAAGTGCTTTACATAAGACATTAAAGAAAAAGTTTAGAGTAAGCCAGATAAATGTCTACAAAATAGTAGAGGAAAACAAATCAAAGAATAAAAAGCTAGTGTTACCTAGTCTCAAACTTATTGTGTTCTGGTCTGATAAGCCAATTTGGTCTTACTGTGGCTAATATTTCTCCTCTAGTGCCGTTTTCCAACAGCGACTAGCTGTGAAGTGCAAAATTCTTTCTGAAATGACGCATTCATTATTGCATTACTATAAGCTTGTGGAATGAAAAAAGTAGTTTGATTTTATTTGAAATTGAAATGTTAAAAGATAAACTGGTATTTTCACCTTGTATCATTTTCTTGTGCATTTAATGTTTGATTGGTCAGAGGTTAAACTGTCCGATGATGTCGTTTTTTATAGTGTTGAATAATATTGAACAAATGTCAAATAATTTGTATTTATATTCTCAACTATTTGTACACTGTAACATTGTATTCCAAATTGTTAGTACAAACTGGCAATATTCTTTTTTGTTAGTTTTCTTTTTTAAATTTGAATTTTTTTTTTTTATTGTTTCAAAGTTACATCCATGTTACATTAAGGGATTCCTCTTGAAAATCTATTACTGTTTTGTCAGAGTAGAACACTGCCTTACACTAAAATAAACACGACAAGACATGTATTTCTCCATTTTCCTTCTGTCCTGTTCTCTCACTTGTTGATATTGAGGGGGATGGGGGAGTTCCCAGCATCCATGGGGCCAAAGGCAGGGAAATGTTGGTAGATTAATAGTCTGTTGTAGTGCACTGACACTGATGAGCAGATTAGAGTTCACCTGAACGCCTTCAGAGAACGTGTACTTGACAGCCCCCAGCCTGATTCAGATTCAGTACTGTTTTGCTCAGGGGTGACCAAAGTGGGACCTGCAGGCCAAAGTTGTCCCGCCTTATGGTTTGTTTCGGCCCGCCAAATGTTTATAGCAAAAACAATTCCTAAAATAAGTGAAAAAAACATAAAATTGCTGTTACAGTTATTGTGTGGTAAATGCTCTTTAAATATGTTGGATTCCTAATTATTTTTCATAATCTGAGCATAGCAGGCAGATACTTTGCACAGGAAGGCAGTCAATTAAGGGAACTTGGGATCTTAGTACCATTCTTAACAATACAATACCACCATTAAGTTTCAGTTTGGGCACTCTTGGTCTTGCTGGTAATCGACTCAAAACTGCTGTGCAGCCCCATAACAGCACACAATCTAGAAATAACTGACACCTGTCTTGTGGATGCATGCGATGTACACTCTATACATAATTTATTTTAAAAAGCATAACTAGTATGGTCTGTTAAATCAGGCTTCTGTATTCAAACTGAATGAGAGTTACTCTTTAAAGTTTGGAGCACTGTGAAATGGGAATGGAGTTAGCTCAAATAAAAGTAGTCAGTGAATGCTTTATTAAAATGTGCATCCATTTGAGTTCGTAAAGTTATTAAAACTGTAAGTATTCCAGTAGGGACCTTGCATGTTTGCAAGACTCCGTGTTCTGGGAATAACCCTTAATTTCAGAAAGCAGCCTCCTCCAAGCGAAGGGATAATGACAGTCCCTAAAGTATCCTTACAAGACACAAAGAAAGCACCATAAAAGCCTTGGATTGATGAAACCTCTGGGTAAGTGGCGAGCGGCACGTTTATACCGCTGTTCTGACCCCGGTGTCTTTTCGCCGCTTGGGTTACTTGTTTCCCTCCCGTTATCTGGCAACCCCGACCAAACTGCGACAGCGCCAATGGCAGCAAAACATAACTGTTACAGGCGAGGAGGATGACAGCAATAAGGTGAGATGAGCACCGTTTCAAGTCCACCACGGCAGTGCTAATATACTTGCAGACGATGTAGAGCATCGTGTTGTGTTGCTCTGGTTTCACCCTCGTCTGAATTATTAAATGATTGGCAACTTTATTTCAAGTTAATGTAGTATTCCGGCAATAAAATGTTAGCACAGGCTCAGCAGCTAAAGCTAAGTGATGTTAGCAACCCGACGTTGAAGTTAGCCTGTGGAGCCACTGAGTTGCCTAGCGTTGCTCCCGTTATCTAACTCAATAACGTTAGAGACCGGGGTTGCCTGGCAAGCTTGGTAGCTGGCGTTAGGTTGCAGTAACGGCTAACCAACCGCTCTCTAGCCGTTGACCGACAGGATGAACCGAAGCAGGCCGGTTAGTTTCTGTAGCTACAGTGTTGACTCTCCCGCTGGATGAGTACCGTTACACTGGACTGCTAGCGTGTGCTAACCGTACCTCGGGGCCTAAGGATGTCAGACCACTTATCTCTAATCAGATTCAGTCATAAAGGAAGACGTCGTGTGCAGTAGTAATGTTACAACGTTATCCGATAAAGTGCATTGTAAGTATGAGATCTGTTTGACTGTCATGTTGTTTAACCTTCATCCCTCTCCACTCATGATGCTGTTGCTAATGATATCAAGCACTTCAGGTTTTTTTTTTTTTCGTATTGACGTGTCAGCTCCTCGGCTGATGGATGCAGTAACACAGTGGAGTTAATTCAGCAGTTCAGCAGGTTGCCTGTGTGGTCACTGACACTGGGAGCAATGCAGTGTTTGAATCTGGTTTTACATTCACGTTGTTTGTTGTTAAGTAAACGCAAAACTGGCTTAATGTGAGAATACAGTTCGGTCCTCACTTTTCCTTTTTGCCTACCATTAATGTGACCCCCTCTAAAGTGTTTTTACTTTAAAATAATTCTAGTCTGCAACGTGTTTAAATGCATAATTAATTGCATAAGTATGCTTAATGTTTAAACTCTACTTAGAAATCACCAGCCAAATGAAGGAGAAGAAGAAGACAGATTAATGAGACTGCAAATTGGTTAAGTAGAAGCTCACATTATTAGAGCAAAGCTGGTTAAGACTTAATTCAATTTTTATGACACACAATACACATTACAGATGGGGAAGCGGGGCCATGGTCCTATTCATGATTGCTCACATTCATTAATTCATACAGAGGTTCAGGGTATATAGAATAGGTACCACTTCATGACCCTGGTGTGCTCCAACATTTCAGTACTCTTGATTGACATGTGGATACATTTGTGATTTTTAAAAAGTGATGCCTTTCTTCCTGCTTGTGTTTGAGCATGAGTGTTGCATTATGTTTTGTGTAGCAAGTGATCATGATGAGTGGCGGCTGTCCCTCTGCAGATGATGTACCAGGCACACACAGAACGTATCCTTAGGAGGTTTGTGTGGTCATAAAAAGGTTTACTTTACTAAACCCTTACTTTGTAGTGCCATCATCTGATCAGTGCACATAAGTAAATAAGACCATATTGTTTTTCTTGGTTCTATGTCCCGAATGACAGTTTACGTTTCAGCTTTCTAGGCCCAGATAATCTTCACATGCTGTTATGGCAGTAACACTGATTAGGTGTCGCAGTAGCCGCTGTTCAAGAGCATCAAAGCTTTGTAGTTTTGAAGGTATCGGGTCGCAAAACAGTAAAAGGAACATTTAACCTTTAGTAATAGTGACTTTCCTCTGTGTTGCAGTCTCTCGTTGGTCTGTCTCGGGACATTTCTGTAAAGTGGTGGCTGCACTGAACTCCAAATCTGTCTTAATTTCAAGATATCTCACTACAACCAACATGAACCACAGTGCAGTTTCTCCCTGATGCATACTGGATACTATGTAGGGTCAGCAATGTAAAAGATGGCTTCGGGGCCCTGCTTCACTTGTTGCTATGAAACAGAACCACACGAGCCTGTGCATGTGCAGAGACAGTCTGGAGGCCTTGCCGAGTCGAAGCCTGTGAATCTGGAGGTGGAAGGGAAAGCATTGGAAGAGCTCTGCTCCCTTAAACATGTACCGATGTGGTCATACAATGTCTTAAGTGGTAGTGTGCTGTGTGACTTCACTGTTTGAGTTCAGTCCTCTTTCAGCTGTTTGTTTTAAATGTTAACACCATAGTGTGTTCTCCATTCTCCATCTCCATTGTCATACAAGTTGTAGTAGTGAACACTGACAATAAATATATAGGTCTGCCTCTGTAGCCATAGATTGACCCTCTGAATAACTATCCACCTTCAGGGTCTCCCGTGAAAAGCAGTATTTTACATTACCTGTTCAGGGTGTTGCCTGTAATAGTATCAGCTATTTCATTGAATGGATCCATGTTGAAAGTAGAGATCTCAGTCAAATGCATTGGTCATCATGTGTTTTATGCAAACACATAAGATTTGTATCCAGATTGATCTTTTTCAACGGTCAGCACTGATAAAGGTCTAAATAATGTCATTTTTTGTTTTTTGCAAACTCTGCTGCCTCAAGAGTTTTAGTGTAGAGTTGTAGTGTAGCTGTAAGTGTTGTGCATTTACTGACTGCCTGAAGAGAGATGATGAGCTGTGTTTGTGTTAGTCGTGACTGGTAAAAAGGAGTTAGCTGATGACAAGGCTGTGTTGCTAAGCAACGCACATCATGGGCTGCGCCTCTTGAAGCTTGAAGCTGGCTGTATTTCTACTCTCTGCAAGACTGGGGGAAAGTGTAGTCCAGTGTTTCTGTTCATTATTGCACTTGTTATTAAGATTATTTAATTACCAGTATCCATGTGTAAAAATGTACACCTGGAGCTGTTGACAGTGTTGCATGTTTAAATACTGCAGGCTACCCTGAAGTCCTACTCTGCTTTAAAACAGATTTGTTCCCTAAGGAATTCGGTTCAGTTCATACAGTGTGTCAGAGGGCTGGAGGCGCAGGGATGCACTGCTCGGCCCACACTTTGTCTCAGGTTATGTTAACTCATGCACTCACTGCATGTGTGTCTGGCTCAAATGTTGTTTGTGAGACCGGTGAGGGCTCTGCTGTGCATTCTCACATTGTGTGCAGGGGGACGGGGCTTTTTATTTTAAAACTAGTTTGCACGGAGAGACGGGGGGGAGGGGGGGGAGCTCACTGCATACCAACAACCACTGGGGCAAACAAGTTTACGAACTCAACACTGCTGTAAATACTTTGCTGTAGTTTGAATGGGCACTTACAGCTTACAGCTTTAAATACGTCATTGGTTGTAAATTTGTCAGAATCGAGAATTTGTAGGTGTGACAAACATTTGTCTGGGAACAGGAGTGACAGTCAGACAGAAAGTATAGCCTGCAGACATTGAAGGCTGTTAACCAACCAGGTTCATACAAAACATGCAAATGAAACAAAATGCTACACTTGGATTAGGTTGGTGTGTACCACAAACCCCAAAACACAGTCAGACTGTGGAAACATACACCCATATTCAGATCCGTCCTTTTTCCGTGCTGCTGTGGGTTTTTGAGAACTTGTTTATTTGGGTAGGTGACTAATATGCTCCATTTGTCTTATTGGTTTTGTTGCTTGCCCCAGATAACAGTGTTTCCCGCAGGTGGAGAAGGTATTGGTCTACCGCAATTGGGGTAGAGGGAGTTGAAGACTCACAACACTGTGCCTACATTAAGCTGCCTAAATTTACACAAAATGTAAATAAACACTGTTTTCATGTGAATTCACGATATACTTCTTTACATATTTTTTTGTTTCTGTTTATTAACCAGCAGTCCAAGCTGCTGCGCAGAGGTGACAAAGTCAACATTTTGTAATGTTTTACAACGTCATCTGACAAAAATTGACACTGTGGCATGCAGCCCCTCGACCCTGAGGGGGCTGAGGTCAATGTTTTCCAAAAGCTCTGTATCCCCTGCACACGCTGAAACCCCCACAGCTTAATGTGGATGTTACTTTAAAGTGCGTTAAAGATGAATTCACAAGCTAACAAATTGCTGCACTATATTGTTTCATTCTACTAGACTTTCTTTTTGCTACAGCTTTTCAAAGCATGCTTTTCAATGTAAGACATATGGATATTAAAAACAATCGTTATTGGTTAGTCAGCAAAATAAAGACTATTATTTTAAACACATTTAACTAATTGCAACTTCCCATTTTGTTTTTGCTCTCTTTCAGGAATTAATCATTTGATTCAGCCTGTCCACATAGGAGGGGAGATCGTGTTACTTTGGCTCTACCCAAAGAGCCTGTAGCGCTGGAGTCCACCATTGAGTATGATTCCCTGGCTGCGGTGGAGGTGAGGAAGCATGGGGTGGAAATCTGAGGTGTCAAGACAAACGTGATGACAGTATGGTCAACGGTGGAGAAGCTCAAAATGGAAAAACGCCCATGGAGGGAGGAGAACATTGACTCAAGCGAGGCCCAGCATGCCACTGACGATTCTGAGGATGGAAGCAGCTCAGAAAGCGAATCAGAAGAGCAGCAGTGCCAGCAGGTTCAGGTGAACAGCAGCAGGTGTAAGAAGAAGGAGCCCTTGGCTGTCACAAAACCCCACCGACAACTCTGTCGCTCTCCATGTCTCGACCGGCCCAGTTTTTCCCAGAGCAGCACTGTGCAAGACTTTCGTGAGGATGAGACTAGTGTGGGAACAGGGATCAAGTCTGCCAGTGACAGGGAGTACCAGACCAAGATGGATTTTGCTTTGAAGTTGGGCTATTCAGGAGAGCAGGTGGAGACGGTGCTCAACAAGTTGGGTGCTGCTGCACTTATTAATGACGTTCTCGCTGAGTTAGTAAGGCTTGGAAACAAAGTAGAGCCTGAAATTCAACCTTGCAGCAGTACGGCCATAACATCAATATCACGGTCCCCCTGTGTTAAAGAGACTGTTAGTCCGGAGGTGTCAGTGGAGGATGACTCTGTGGATACCTTTGATAACCTCAGGCCCATCGTCATCGATGGCTCAAATGTGGCAATGAGGTAAAACCCTTAGAAACGCACGCTCTTATTGAATTGATCATTGCTTTATTGTGAATGCGCTTTGTGAGGTTTGAGTAGACCTGATACCATACTGTTTTGTTTTCAGTCATGGAAACAAAGAGGTGTTCTCTTGCCGTGGTATCCAACTTGCTGTGGAATGGTTCTTGGAGAAAGGACACAAAGACATCACTGTGTTTGTCCCTGCCTGGAGAAAGGAACAGTCGAGGCCTGACGCCCTCATCACAGGTAGTAAAGCAGTTTTTAAGCAGCTGTTATTTGACGTTAATCCTGGTAGTTGGTATGTTTAGTTGCTGAAATATGTATCAATATCAGTCAGCAGTCAATTTACATATAAGAAGAGTAATATGTTATTTGTGGATGTGAGTGAAGCATGACCTTGTTGTGTGGTCATAGAAATGCAGCAAAATCTCTGCGTCATTTATTAGTTATTTTATTTCTGTGTGTGTGTGTGTGTGTGTGTGTGTTTGTATATATGTGTGTGTGTGTGTGTGTGTGTGTATATGTATATAAAAAACCTTAATAAACAGGTTGATTGCAGGGATTTTTTTCTTAATACAATGTTTTATTATTAAGGAAAATACAAGTATTGGATCAGGACTCAGAACATACTCAATATTAAATGGGGATCGGGGGCAAAATTGGTTCCTAGAATCGTAGTATTTCACTGGGACTTGTATCATCTACTAAATTTCTGGTATTGTGACATCCCTGTTCCCTCCCTGTAATAACTGATAGTTGTTAGTGCTGTAGTCAACCAAAGGAAATCTAGGTCGACTAAAATTCTACCTACTTTCAACTTGTCAATTTACAAACAACAGCAACACACACACACACACACAAGCCTACACACACACCGGCGGGGGGTGTGTAGCAAAACACTGGTCGGACATGAGCCTATACCCTAATGCCATCCAAAATGCAAGGGCTGCCTCCAATAGTCGAGTAAACTGTTAGTCAACAAGAAGAGTCTTAGTTGACGCACTTTTCATTAGTCGGATATCCGCAGAAAAGCTTTGGACTGCGGGGGAATGGGGCCAGAAGCTTAGCCTGAGTGGGGCAACAGAGCCAGACTGACAACGGGACAGAACACCAAATCCATCGCAGGACTAGACAAAAGGCACGTTCAGGTGGAGGAGGGAGAGTAGCAAAGGCATGAAGGGAGAGTCATTTAAGCAAAGTATTAAATGATTAAATTAATATCATAGACATGTGACGACTGGTTGAATATTGACTATCTTACGACTACTAAAATGACTAGTAAAAAATCTTTAGTCGGGTCAGCCTTACAATATGCATTGTAATATTGGTTCTGTTGTTTTGATGGATTTCTGCTCTTAATGAAACATTTGTCAGCATTAAAACCTACTTGAAACGTCTCTTACAGATCAAGAAATATTACGCAAGCTGGAAAAAGAAAAGATCCTGGTTTTCACCCCATCTCGGAGAGTTCAAGGCAGGAGAGTGGTGTGCTATGATGATCGCTTCATAGTGAAGCTGGCTTATGATTCTGAGGGAATTATTGTGTCAAATGACAACTACAGGGACTTGCAAAATGAGAAGCCAGAGTGGAAGAAGTTCATAGAAGAGCGTCTACTGATGTACTCATTTGTCAATGACAAGTAAGAAACTGAAAATGCATTCTTATGGCAGCCAAATGATGTAGTAATGTACTCGAGGACTAGGAATAGACATTGTTTAAAAATAAAATATCTCCCCCAATACAATACAAACTATTTTTTTTATATCAAACTTGGTTAGAAGTAGATATGGTTATTTATTAAAAACATTTTAAGTTCAATCTTTTTAGTCATTGTATGCTGACCATCGTTAAAAATCTGGGGGAGACCAGTTATTAATTCTGTTTTGTGCCAAGGACTCTTCATGCTGGAAATAATAAAGCTGACCTTTTTAATAATGAAATATTTTAGGTTTATGCCGCCTGATGATCCACTGGGAAGACATGGTCCAAGCTTAGAAAACTTCCTCCGCAAGCGTCCTGTTGTTCCAGAGCACAAAAAACAACCTTGCCCCTATGGTAAGTTCCCCAGAAATATCTGGATAATGTGTTTCTGTCAGCATAAGTTCACGGTTTAATTTTCTTAATCTATTCTTTCTTTAAACAAGGAAAAAAGTGCACATATGGACACAAGTGCAAGTACTATCACCCAGAGCGTGTCAACCAGCCACAGCGGTCAGTGGCTGATGAACTACGGGCCTTTGCCAAGTTGTCTGCGGTGAAGACGATGAGTGAAGGGGCGTTAGCCAAATGTGGTACTGGTCCAGTAACTGTAAAGGGGGACAGCAACTCTGAGGTCAAACGTGTGGCCCCCAAACGTCAATCTGACCCCAGTATTCGCTCAGTGGCCTGTGAACCGCCAGAGGCACTGTCCGTTATTAGGAAGTCTGAGACAAATTCAGTGCCTTCCCTTGTGTCTGCTCTCAGTGTGCCCACCATGCAGCCTGCCAAGAGCCACGCAGCTGGGGCCTTGAACACACGATCAGCCAGCAGCCCGGTGCCAGGTTCTTTGCAGTTCGCACACAGTTCCCTGGAGCACATGTCCAGTGTACAGTACCCTCCTATTTTAGTAACCAATAGTCATGGCGCCTCTGTTACATACAGTGAACAGTTCCCTAAGTATGACTCAGTTAGCGACCATGGATATTATTCACTGCACAGTGATTTTTCAAATATGAGCATGAGCAGCATGCATAATGTCGACAGTTTCTGTAGCATGGAGCACGAGCATGGTGTGTATCAGAGAAATCCCAGCCACTGCCCTGAATCCTGCCTCAGCCATTCAAACAGTGACTCGTTCTCCTCTTATGGGGACCTGTACCCAAGCTCTGTGGACAGTAGCTTAGAGGAGAGCATGAAGGGGCAACAGCAGTCTCCTGCACAAAGTAGGATGCAGACTTTCTCCCATGGGTTTCGTCATGAAGCACTGACTAGGGTACAGAGTTACGGACCTGAGGAACCCAAGCAGGGCCCCCGTAAGCAGTCTGGATCTCATCTAGCACCGCATATCCAGCATGTTGCAGTGGGAGCCAGGTCCAGCTGTCCTGGAGACTATCCCCTAACTCAGAATGTCCTCCCACCTTTGTCCTCACAGCCCACACGGTCTCTTGGTATGACTCGTATGGACAGTATATCAGATTCAAGGCTCTATGATAGCAACCCAATGAGACAGAGGCGACCTCCACTGTGCCGTGAGCAGCATGCAAGCTGGGACCCTCTGCCTTGTGGTAATGAGTCCTATGGGTATCATTCGTATCCATTAAATAACAGCCTGATGCCGTGTTGCGAGCGGGTGATGGTCCGCAGCATGCCAGACAAGATGGAACAAATCTGGAACTCGCCATGGGAGATGCCATCTGCAGTTGAACATCAAGAGCGGTATGTCATCCCAGACCACCAGTATCAAACATATCGGAACCTTTGTAACATCTTTCCTGCCTACGTAGTCCACTCAGTAATGGAGAAGAACCCTCATTTGACAGATCCACAACAACTCGCCGCTGTCATTGTTGCAAAACTGAGGTCATGCCATTGAGCTGTTAATCTTATTAAACATTCAAAAATTATGTGATAAGAGAAACACGGATCTTTATTGCAAGGATAGGCACTTGTTAAATGTTGCTGTATGTGCAACACCTGCCCTCAGGAGTTTTTTTGTTTTGTTTTTATGTCTCGGATGTGAAATCTGGATATCGGATTTTAGAAGATGACAGAAGTAATCAGCATAGAGAAAGTTTGTCTAATAAGTTTATCTCAAATTGTAAGATGTTTCACATATGAAAGCTATGTTTTTATATGAAGTGTGGTGCAATTGATATGAGGGAACACCTTATTAGAAATCTGCTTCATAACACATTCATACTACCTGAGCAGGAGCTTGTTATTTTATCCATGATTAACTGAACCATCGTTCAACATAATTCATTCTAGAAAATGCATATATAGAATAGTCTGATAACATTTGGCAGGACTTGTGAATGTCCCTTCTTCTGAATAGATTCCTGTTGATTTAACGGATTACATGATGTTTAAATATTGTGAATGGAGCCCCAAAGTGTTCAGTCTTAAATAAATAAAATAAGAAATAATTATCAAGTAATTAAATGAAATAAATAATCACAGGAATAAATTGTCTAAAATGTATAACTGACTAACTACTTTAAGAAATATTTAAAACTCAACTCACTATTATGAAATGTTATTATTAATGTTATTTTATTAAAATCTTACAGCAGTTTATTTTTTATTTCATAATCAACTCCCCCTCTCCCCCCAAAAAAGCCTTAATTTAAAAATGTATTTCATAATTAAATTTTCCCCAATTAGACTTCATTTGTAATTTATATATTTTAGACATTTTATTCATGTTTATTTCATGGTGTCTTTTTCCATTTTATTTAATGTTGAATACTTTGTGGTTTCATGACTATGATGGCCAGCTGGATAACATCAGAATTTAAGCCGAACTAATGTAGCTGAAACTTCAATCAGTGTGAACTAAGTTCAATTCAATTCAATTCA